AAAAAAAAACCTCATATCGTCGTTGCTACACCTGGGCGATTGCTACATCATCTCGAGAATACGAAGGGGTTTAGCAGTCGGTGAGTTATTGAGCCGTTCCATCTTTGGTGCTAATCTTATATGCTCCAGAGGGCTTGATATACCTTCGGTTGACATCGTCATCAACTTCGACATTCCTACCCATTCCAAGGATTACATTCACCGCGTTGGGCGAACAGCACGTGCAGGTCGTTCTGGCAAGGCGATAACAATAGTGAGTCAATACGACGTAGAGATTTTTCAGAGGATAGAGACGATGGTCGGTAAGAAGATGGACCTGTGGGCAACAGATGAGGAAGAAATTGCGCTGATGAGGGAACGGGTGGACCAGGCTGGCAGACTAGCCGCGCAGCAACTTCGGGATTAGTCACAATCTACTACCTATCGTAAAAAGCGCAGGCGAGATGAAGAGCCGAATAACCAGGACCGTGACGATGATGTAGTGGAAGCGGGAATGCCTGTAAGGAGAAACAGACAGAAGCGGTGATTCTCTGTGGGGTTTGCTTATCCTTATCTCACTATCTTATTTTCGCTTGCGAAGAACCGGCCCTTAACGATCTCTATTTTTATACATAACTGAACTTCTGCAGCATACAGGATGATTACACATTATGAGGCAAACTCAATACAAGACGCTACTTAGAACTCCGCCCTACTCCGGATTATGACATCCTCGTCGGACTTCGACGAGGCCTGTAGAACGAGTCTTGGTGAGTACCAGATAACAATTAAAATTGAGGACCGTACTCATATCCCTCGCGAGGAGGTCTGCATACACGAATCCATTATCGCTGTTTGTTCCGACGCGGTTTTGAAAGGATCGAACCGTTGATCACCTCATGTGAGACTAAGGTTGGTAAGATGTCGTACTTCGTTATTGACGCTCATAATCTCCCAGTACCCGCTGCGAGTTCCTAAGCTGTATGGAAGTACCAGCTTCCCGTGTCCAGAGCTACTAAGTTTTACGCTGGTCCTGACTTGCAGATAATTGCATGAGCGAAACAAACATCGCATGAGAGATAGAGCGCACGGCTTATGCCAGGATAAGAGTCGCGTACTTCAGTGAGCGATGAGAGGTATTGCAGTATCCTAGTTGAAAGATACATACTACTGATACTACTGTAAACTTGAGGCCGACCACAGCGACAGTATCAACCAAATTAGTAGCTGGCTTGCAATTACGGGCAAATTATGTTTTCCACTTGTTTCTTGTCAGTTGTAATCTTGTTCACTTGAATCCAGAGGGTGGTACGAATTGTTAGCAAGAGTCACGACTTTGAGCTGTGTGTTCCCTGGCGCAGGTAGTATGCAGCCAGCCGTTAGACGTTGCGAACAGTATGAAACGGGACTAACGGGCGCGTACACAATCTAGATATACCAATCATAGCAATTCTTACGGCCAAAGGTATTGACATTGTTGTACTACAAGGTGGCGTCGGCTGGAGGGTGAAGATTTGTCAGATTTATGTGATGGTACATCAGGCATAGAATCGCATTTCTTAGAAACATAAAAGAATGAGTCGAAAGAGGCAGATAACAACGAGGGTTTCCGAATCAGTGGAGGAATCAGAACTATTCAGATCATTCTGCACAGAACCCGCTACCCCACAAGTGCCAGGGATGATACGACAACCAACTCACCATATCATTGTATTGGAAAGGCGTCAAGAGGATCTCAACCTTATAGGAGAGGCCTTGCCGACGTTCCAAACTGAGATTTTCATCCACTTAGAAACGAGGATATTTTTGTCGTAGTGACAATACCAAAACAACGGCCACTTTGCAATTGTAAAGAACCTTCCGGGCACATTGAACTAGGTAGATCGTGATGGTAGATACAGTCACTAGAGTCAAGTGACAGATACCAGATCGTGGACCAATGGCAGATTGATTATTGAAGAGCTGAAAAGAGTTGGAACAGCGAAGACTAGTCTGTTATGAGCACAGCCGATCCTCCCCTCAACCTTCGCTCTTGCAGGCTTCGAATATTTGTGTCTGATGCTAGGATTGACTGTATAGATAAGCCGTAAGTAGTCTCGCGCAGATCAAGGGTACCCTGACCATTTGATCTGTCGGCTGTACGAATTGGGATGGCAGGACTAGTCCCCTGAGCAAAGTCCCTTCGATCTGCGCTCTTACAAGCATCAAACATATGCAAGACAGAATCAGTAGCACAGATCGAGCAACACGTGAATCAGTTACTACGGACTATGCATAGCGATGCTCGCAAACGAAGATCAGTTGTGTAGACCTCGTATCTGCGCCACGTCTCAATGAGAATACTGCGATACGACCTCAAAACCAGTACATACTAGCCGGCGATTATCTAACCAGTTGTCATTACGTTGACCTGGCGATTCTGATTGAATATTTTAAAGTCGCCATGCAGGCTGTTTTGAGCCACAAGAAGGCTGATTGAGCTCATGCTTCCACCCCTCCCGTCGCGTATTCCACGCGTAGCGCGAAAACAGGATCAGCACCGGTTGAAATCGATTTGGTACTTCGCCGCACAGTGAGCAGAATGTGCAATGGGAGATATATTCCGTCAGGTTGCCCAAGTGCGAGCCGCGATGGGAAGAGGAGAAAGGCGCAGAGGACAAGCGCTCGAAGGGTCGAAGACGCCGACGTCGCTCGCTCTTCCACCGTACTATGGCATCGGGCACGGCGACGAAACGAGCCCCTGCGACAACCTCTCTCACTCCTCACGCGAAAGCTATCATCAGCGTCGAAGAATGGGAAGCAAAAGCACCACTCGATGACATCGAGACGAGGAGCGTGAGCCTCATCAAAACGGCCACGGAACGAGTTGCACTACCACCGAAGGTACGCTCTCGCTATCTAGCAGCGTTTTGCACTAGGGGCCAACTACGACAGTCAAGTTCAGCTTCGACGAACCAGGCTCATCCTCCCGGCCCTCTACGCCCGTCAGCCGCGCTAGGTTCGCGCAGGGCTCTCGGCCTTCCACCCCCGTCGGGTCTGCCGCGCCTCGCCAGGGGACCACCCATGCGCTTCATCCAAAACAGCCCATCCAGACCCCTCAGCAGTTCTACGACTGGTTCGCGCTGATTGACCGCTCTGTGGCCCATAGTCAGGAGGCACATTTCCGCGCACACCTCGAGAATGTCTCGGAGCACCTGGAGACATGCGACAAGCTCGTGGAGCGCATAGACGAAGTGGATGCGGCACTGGATAGCATGCTTCAAGAGTGGAGGATCGTCGAGGAGGGGGGAAAGAGTCTGAAGGAAGCATGCGAGCAGCTTCTTGAGGAGCGGGTGCGATTCGGCTGTGATACCAGTTTGGTGATCTACTGAGTTTATGCTAACAGGATAGGCTCATTGGCATGACAGACGCCATCGGAGAGCGGCTTGAATACTTCCAGGAACTCGAACATGCTACGCGCATGCTGAACTCGCCTGGAGACTCCCTCGTCCTGCAATCCGACTTCCTGTACATGGTCGAGCGAGTGGACATTTGTATAGAGTATCTGAAGGAACACGTGAGTTCAATCACTGGTGCCATACCTGAAAACTCTGACAGCGAGTAGCGACAATTCCGAGAAGCAGAAATCTACCTGCTGCGCTTTCAGCAATGCATGACGCGAG